TATTGAGAAGCCGGAGCCACTCTACGACGAGACGGACATAGAATGGAACGAGAGCTGCTATCTCTTGGAGTGGACAGGCCAGCTCATCGCCATCTTCACCGCGCTTATTCAGGGGCTCGCCACGGCCGAAGGGAAAAGGAAAGAGAGATAAGGGAGAGATGAGAGGAAGGAGGAAGAAGTGTTAAAAGAGAGGATGATACGTGGCCCTATAATATTCTTTTTGACGGATAAATGGGTCACACATATTCTTTTAATTTTAATGTCACATAAACGCCACGTAAAATGAAGACTAAGTCAACACTATCGGTTTCAATAGCTCGGGGAGATATCCACTTGTGGTTTAGGGATATGAATATGATTCGACCGTTAAGAGAGAGTCCAACTGCACTTATTCTGGTTATTATTGAGACATTGAGCTCGGCTGTTGTGGGCCTTGTGGGCTGTCAGGTTGTGGCCGAATCAGGCCGAATGGCCTATCGGGCTGCTATTGCTTTGCTATGGTTTTGTGGGCTGTACCTCGTTTTCCTCGGGATATTTCTGCCGAGCCAGGTTAAGAGAGTTTTCAAGTTACTTTCTCATAGTACTTATTATTTTTTTAATAATAATACTTATTGTTTTGGATAACACTATTATAAAACTTTAAAAACTTTAACTATAAATAACATCTGAAATATTTGTTTTTCAAATATAGTAAACATATATATGTATATTGGTCTCAAAAAGTGCTACAACAAAATCATATATTTATTGATATCTCTATATATATTGTAATAAAAAAACATGTATTACCAGCCCATAGGAAGTACTCACTACTAAAAAACGATTTTCATGTACAGGGACCCATTTAAATTGCAAACGGATTATAACTGGCTGCGTATGTGAAAATTGTCCTCTATTTTCGTGTGCGGCTCCTTAAGAGGACCGCACGGAAAAATTGATTTTTGCATGCGCACATCTTAAATGGACCATGCACAAAAGTGAGCCTATTTTCACAAGCGGACCTATTAAAAGGTCCACACGCAAAAATACCCCTCCCTCTTTTCCCTCTTACTCACTTTAAATTTTCTCCTCTTTCTCTCCTCTCCTCTCTATCTCTTTCTCTTCTCTCCTCTCCTCTTTTTCCTCTCCTTTCTACGCGGCCTCACTCCTCTCCTCTCCTCTCTCCTGACAGCGACAGCGGCAGCGGCGGGTGTAGGCAACGGCGGCGGCGATGGCAACAGTGGGTGTAGGCGACGACGACAGAAGGGATGAGCTACGGCGCGCGGCGGTGTCCTCCACGCTCTACCGCGCACGGTGGGCCCCACAGTTAGGATACGCGTAGGCTACGATAGCATAAATCAAAATTTTCTATCGCGTAAATCAGGAACCATGCAAGTATTAGATCATAGATTGTTACCACTCGACGCGCTGCGCAGCGGAAGAAGACGCTGAGAAGTCGAAGGAACTCTCGCGAAGTAGCGCGTGTCGATGTAGAGGAAGTAGTCGATCGCACCGGCTCGACCTTCTCCTCCTCGTGCGTTCTCCTCGCCGTACTCCCACGCCGATCAGCACCGCAAACCAGTGGCGCCTCTACCGGTATCCACACGTACAGGGACGGAACGCCACGCGCAGATATGCTAGCACCCGCGCGCGGCTAGGGTTTTGCTCGGGGAGGGAAGTGACGGCTAGGGTTTCTCACGTGATGCAATACCTCCGCCGGTCACACCCCTCACGAATATGTAGGATCCATCACTCGGGCCTCCAAGGCCCGTATGACTTCTATTCGGATCCTATCCGAATTAAGCTTATATTGGATATCCATCCAATCCCCTTATTTTCAGGCCATTAATTGTGCGACCCTGTAGGTTCATGTATACTCAGCTGTAACCCGAAAACCCTTTTTCGATCCACGTGTCAATAGCGGCCCCTAGCAGAACGTATTGACCCACCGGGCATACATAAAAATCATATCGGCTGAACCTCTAGTGTATACTTGTATAAACCCCTTTGCCTCACAATATTGATTAAGCTCAAGGCTAGATATGTGCCATCCTCTAATAGCTCAATTATTCACTCGAACCTGTTAATAGATTATATAACTTGTGATTGACTCCTCAATCACCTTTGGCATGGCCATGCACTTCCATAATCTACAACATCGAGGGGCCCAGACATATCTCTCCATAGGAGGGGCAAATCCCATCTTGATTATTCATATCCCACTACATGTTTCATAGCATACCCGAAAACTACTTTTATAACTACCCAATTACGGAGTAGCGTTTAGCAGTCCCTAAGTAAGCTACTACACATGTTGAGAATCATGATAATCTCAGATCTAAGAATTCAACACCAACACTAAATGAGATCACCGATGACACAACACATATGGCTCTTGTAGTGTCTCATGTTGGGTCTATCCAACAACATGTTCACCAACATGTGTCCACATTATTAATTTGGTATCTCTATACCATGATCCATGAGACATGATCATCAATTAATACATGTGCTGATCATCTAAACATATTTGTTCCGCATATGATATTTGATCAGGGATCCTTTAGAAATAGCAACACATAACATAAAGAGTCTCATGAAAGAATCACATATTCATTAACCAATAATAAGTTATCTATTTCAAGGAACAATGTCGGATAAATATCACTACTGGAGAAATGATCTTTGGAGGGTCGAGCGATTTCCACAATAGTCCCGGTTCTAATAAGAACCGGGACTAAAGATTGTTTTTAGTCCCGGTTAAAAAAATTGATCTTTACTCCCGGTTGGTGTTATCAACCAGGACTAAAGATGATCTTTAGTCCCGGTTCATCCTCTGTCAGAAGCCTGACAGGGGGCCGAGGATCTTTAGTCCCGGTTGATAATACCAACCGGGACTAAAGATTACCACTTTAGTCCCGGTTGGTACTATCAACCGGGAGTAAAGATCATTTAGATACCAACCGGGACTAAAGATTTACCTTTAGTCCCGGTTAGTGTTACCAACCGGTGTAAATATTTATCTCCCATCTCTGATCGGTTAAGTCCTATATAAGATTCCCCTCGATCTCTCCTCCCCTCAGATCCAATCTCATCCTCCTCTCCTCCCCTCCCCTCTCCTCCTCCCCTTCTCCCCTTCCTCCTCCTCCTCTCTACTCCCCTTCCTCTCTCTGCGCGGGCGAGGGGCGAACGGCGAGTGGCGGGCTGGGTGGCGGCTGATGCAGGCAGGCGGCCTGCGGCGGGCGCGTGGCGGGGGCCGGTGGCGGCGGGCGCGCAGCGAGCCAGGCGACGGCTGGCGCGGGCGAGCGCGGGCAGGCGCCAACGGCGGCGGCGGCGGGCAGGCGGCCTGCGGCCGGTGGCGGCGGGCGCGCGGCGGCCGCCGGGGCTGCGCACGCAGGCGGCGGCCGGCATCTTCCCGTTTTCTTTTTTTCTTTTTTTTTTGTGATTTGTGATTCACTGGATGTATAAATTTGTGATTCATTGCATAGATATGTGATGTTTTTATTTGGTGTGTAATTTATTTAAGGATTTGTGATGTATTTGATTTGTGTGCATATGTAACTTAGGATTTGTGAGATGAATGATTTGGGATGTTACTTGATTCGGGGTTTGATTTGGGATGTTATTTGATTCGGGGTTTGATTTGGGGATAGGCATCTCACCTAATTTGGTAGAAAATATAGGGATTAACTCAGTCGGTAGCAAATTAACAATGAAAAAAAAAGGGGATCAACCGGGACGTGGCTCAGCCATCTTTAGTCCCGGTTGGTAACACCAACCGGGACTAAAGATGAATCTTTTCTCCCGGGTATCTGAACCGGGACTAAAGACTGCAATCTTTAGTCCCGGATTCCTTCTCCCGGTTCGCTACCTGGGAGTAAAGGTGGTTGTGAACCGGGAGAGATGTGGGGTTCTCCAGTAATGTATGTAAACAAAGTATGTGATACAATCATCTCTATGATTGCCTCTCGGGCATATCACTAACACCCTCTGATGGTGGAGGCGCGGGATTCCGCGGGTGGCAGCCAACCACCGCACGGATCCGACGGTGGCTGGCCGGCCTCCCCCAGTGCGGGATCCGGCTCCCCTCCCCTCCCCTAGCGCGGGATTTGTGCAAAAGTCAATGAAAATTCTAACACCGCGCTTCGTGAATCCTTAGATCAATGTTGAGATTCGTGCAATAAGTTGATGAAAATTCTAACAACGTGCTTTGTGAACCCTCAGATCAATGTTGAGATTCGTGCAAAATGTTGAGATCAAATGTGTTTTTGAACAGTGCTAGAACCGGCAGTTATGAGCCCTGACCATCAGTGCCACATAATTTTTTTAAGATATAGATATATGCAGCTTTTTAAATTAGGAAATTATCCCCTCTAACAATCCAATCTAAAATTCACTCCTATGAAGATTTGAACTCAGCACCTTAAGGTGCTACTCAGGACACATAATTCTTTTAAGATATAGATATATGCAGCTTTTTAAATTAGGGAATTATCCCCTCCAACAACCCAATCTAAAATTCACTCCTATGAAGATTTGAACTCAGCACCTTAAGGTGCTACTCAGGTCACTGCAACCACCGGACTGCTTGCGCTGTTGTATCAGTGCCATGCGGATCAGGATCGTCTGCCTTCACGGGGCGACTGCACGCGCGTGCCTTCAGCACTCATCCACCGTCCAAACCATCCGATGGCTCACGAGGCAGCACGCCATAGCTAACAGAACCAGCCATCGCGAAGCCCACGAAAACCCAGCAAGTAGCAGCGACGAAGTACCCGCATGCGTTGGGGAGTGGCCCGGAGCTCAAACGCCGGTATGCGCTGCCGTCAGCCGAGTGACCTGAAGCTTTTCCACCGGCATACGCCACCATTGGCCGCTACGAGAGCTGGGCTTCACTGCTGTCTCCTCGGATGTACGTCGTGTTCAATCTCCGCCGTCCCATCTTCCGTTGAGGACAAGTCTGTAGCGGCAGCGGCGCAGCAGCAGCCGGAGGCAAGCATGACAAAGGTGTTCTCGTTGTGTTTCCGTAGAAAACCAGCTGATTGAATGCGTACTTTACGTAATACGTTGCTTGCTGCATAGTCGATCGAATCAGAAGTTCAGAACGCAAGCTTTGCTTGCTGCTCATTGTAACTGTAATCGTGTTATGCTACTACTTGGTCTTGGTGCATCCATATTTTCCAAGTTCCACAGGCAGCAAGCATGTTGAATTGCTTCCAATTGCTGCATATCCAATCCTAGCAAGAAGATGGACCAGTGGAGTACGTGCACGACGCTCAAGGGGACAGCGAGGAAGCTACAGCTCCCGGTGGCTCTGGTGGCGGCGCATCCCAGTGAAGAGCTTCAGGTCAGTCCCCGCCGTGAACGACGACGGCCGGCGATAACGACAACGAACGCATATGTTATCGGAGTCCAGAGGTGTGTCCGCTATCAGTCTATCACTTGTGAGCGTGGGCTTTCCTGGGCTGGTTGTTTAAGGGTACACGTCACGCGATAGCCGTTGGATGGCTCGGACGGTGGATGTGTGCTGACTGCACGCTCGTGCAGTTACCCCGTGAAGGCAGACGATCCTGATCCGTGCCATGCAGCCTGCCAGTGGGAAAACCAGCAGAGAGACTGTTTGTTACGAACCGACAGGGAAGCCCTTCTATGAACTTTGCGGAATAGCGAGTATTGCTTGAAATTAAAATTGACCTTATAATTAATCTGCATATATATATATATATATATATATATATATACACATGTAGACATACCAGGTTGCTTCCATGAAGACGATGATGGTCACGAACCAGAAATCCTTCTGTTTGATGAGGGTAGCGTATCCACCTAGCAACACCACCGTGGCCCATGCGAAAGCCAGTGCACCACAACCGTTCATCACCCTGTAGAAGAACGCAATGCGTACGGCCATGGTGTTGAGCTTCTCTTCCGGCAGCCTCTCATCATTTGGATCAGGCTGATCAAATGCCTCTGCATCATTTTTTGGTGGCACTGCCATGGCGTCGCAATCTTGGTGCGTCGCACATTTTTGATCGGGTTTGTGAGACATTGATCGGGAGTGTTGGTAATTTATTTCTTAGATCTGTCTTCTCGTTGCATCAACACTGGGGTGGCATCACCCCCATTTTATACTGGTCGGACGAGCATAGTAGAAAATAAGGTGTGGTACGTAGTAGATCGAATACAACCTGTAACATATGTTAGTTTAGGTATATATGGAGATGGACGCCGTCAGCTTTATAAAAAAAATTAGTAATAATAATAGTGACTCTTGGGAGGTAGATCGATCTGCGAGTCGTTCTATAGTTATGCAAGTTGGCAAAGTCTTCCTTTGCCCTGGAACTTAATTAATTAGCCAATGAGCAGGGCGTACATGGACATGATATAAATGCTACTAAAACTGACTTTCTAAAGGGCAGGCGTGGTCTTCCCTAACGTAACATGGTCGACAGTTAAAAATAGGACTACGCTCCATTTATTAATACTCCTGAAGGAGGGTAAAAACACTGAATCCTTTAATAAGTTTGCGCGGACATTGTGGAGTATAGTCGTCCAATGGAGGGATGTGTATTTTCAGAAGTCTAGATATAATCCTGGTATTATCTATGTTCTCCCTCTGTTTTCACTTTTAATAAATAACGTTATTGACTTTTAGCATTATATTTGATTATTTGTCTTATTAAAATATTATATAAACTAGAAAGGTAACCCGCGCACATGCGCAGTACGTTGCTGACAGCCTGACACCTTGTTTATTATTGTTGCTTGAATTTTTATGAGTAATATTAACATGTTGGTGATTTTTTATTATATTCTTTTGTCCATAGTTTGTTTAGGATTGCTTTAAATGTTAGTCATGATTTTCTTCTAACTACCCTATCAACATATAAATTCTAATTATTTGAATTCGTAAAATCTTGAGTTTATGAGAAAATATCGTGTCGTGGAAAATGGAGTTGATTCACATGTAACTATCATTTGTACTATATGTGTTTTTAATATTTAGTATATCTTACTTTTGGAGTTTCTAAACTTTAAGAAATAGCTTTTCTTGTGTACTATAGATATCTTTATGGAATTTAGGATATTTTAATGGAAGAAACTTTCTATTAAGATATATGGTAAGAGGAAAATTTTATCCAATTATGACAAATTTATATTTACTTTTGCTACCTCCTTTTGTCATATTCTTACTATGTTCTTGGAAAAATGAATTTAAAATTGAAATAAGAGAGCAATTATATAAATAAAATTTTTCCATTTAGGAAAAAGTACAAATCACGCCCCTCTCCCCGAACCACAAAACCGGACATTCTTCACCCTCAACTATACAAACCGGACAAATTACCCCCCTCGACCCAATCCACGGTGGTTTTGGTCCACGTAGCGTACGCGTGGCAGTCCAGTCAGCACTCTATTTATAAAAAAAATTGTGGGACCCACCTATCATCTCCTCATCCTCTCATCCTCTATTTTCTCTCTCTCACTCTTCCTCTCTCTCAAACGGGAGGACACGCGGCGGTGTGCGGGAGAGGACGCGGGCACGCGGCGGCGGCGGGCGGGCGGCAGCGGACGCGGCGGCGGGCCGGGGAGGACGCGCGGCAGCGTGCGGGGGAGGACACGGGCACGCGGCGGCGGCGGACGGACGGTGGCGGCGGCGCCGGGGAGGACGCGGCGACGGGCGGGCGGCAGTGGACGCGGTGGCGGACGCGGCGGGTCGGGGAGGACGCGGCGGCGGGCAGGCGGTGGTGGAGCACCGGGGAGAACACGGCACCGGGGATGAGGAGGACGACGACAAGGATGCAGCGCACGGCGGCGGTGAGTGACGCGGAGGCGACGGCGGCGGGGGATGACGAGGACGACGACGAGGATGGAGACGGAGGTGCGCCGCCCCCCGCTGTGCCCGTTGTCCCGACGGCGCCACACACAGAGAGAGAGGGGGAGGGGGGAAGCAGCGCCGAGCGGCCGCCTCCTCATCCCCCGCCCCTGCGCTCCGCCACCTCCTCGGCGCCGCCCGCCGCCGCCGCGTCCTCCCCGCGCTCCGCCTCTCCGCCATGGCCGCCGCAGCCATCGTCCTCGTCGTCGTCCTCCACTCCTCCGTCGCCATCCTCATCGTCGTCCTCGTCATCCCCCTCCGTCGCCGCCTCCGCGTCACCCGCCGCCGCCGCCGCTGTGCTCTTCATCTGCGTCACCCGCCGCCGCATCCGCGTCCTCCCCGGCCCGCCCGCCGCCGCATCCGCCGCCGCCCGCCCGCCGCCGCGTCCTCCCCGGCGCCGTTGCCACCGCCTGCCCGCCGCCGCCGCGTGCCCGCGTCCTCCCCCGCACGCCACCGCGCGTCCTCCCGTTTGAGAAAGAGAAGATGAGAGGATGAGGAGATGACAGGTGGGTCCCACAATTTTTTTATAAATAGAGTGCTGACTGGACTGCCATGTGTACGCCACGTGGACCAAAACCACCGCGGATTGGGTCAAGGGGGGTAATTTGTCCGGTTTGTATAGTTGAGGGTGAAGAATGCCTGGTTTTGTGGTTTGGGGGAGGGTAATTCAGACGACCGCGATAGTTCGGGAGGAAGTAATTCGTACTTTTTCCATTTATAAATAAAATTGTTGATGACATTTGTTGAAATTGGGCGTTTGTCAATAGCATTTTTGGTTTTTGTCATCCTATTTAGTCGTAAATATTTGTCAACTAATAAATATACTTTATATTGTCATTTGTTATATAATTTTCATGTATGTTTGGATTACATGAAAAGAATAAAAATGCGACCTAAAATATAATTTTATTTTATAAGTTGAAATATATTCAAAACAGATAGTAAAATATTAATTTAATGGTAAATAATATGATGGACTAAACTTCGTTTTCAATAGTAGAGTGAATTTAGTTATGCATGTTTGTAAAAGTGATATATGATAAAATAATATATGTCGCCATTTGTTTGTCATATACGATGAAAAGGGTCAATATATGACCCAAAACATTTATTTATTTATTATAATTTAAAATATGTCAGCACCACTTTAAGCCTATCTCAACTATTACATTTTATGTATGTAAAAATTGTATGTGTAATTTTGAATTTATAGTTGTTTAGAATTTATTATGATAAATAACAAATATTATCTCAACTACTATAAAAAAAGATTAAAGGAAAGGGAAGAGAAGGTGAGGAGGGCCGGTTGCGTGCATGCAGTATGAAGTGATATTTTTTAAGGGTTAATTGAATCTATGCCACTACAAATATGCCATTTTAGAAAAATATCATTACTATTCACGATATTGGCTACGTGCCACTGGAATTTGAGAAAATTAGAATCATATCACTCCATCACGTTTTCCGTCAAAAATCTCCGTTAGCCCCAACCGCACGTGGGACCTAGCTGTCAGTTTCATCTTCACCTCCCTCCCCTCTCTTCTCTCTCCCCTTCCTCTCTCTCCACCAATGTCGTCGACCACCACCGTAGCTGCCGCCGTCATCGACCACCTCCGTGAAGGCCTCGGGAGCCACTGCCGTCAGTCCGTCACCGCTATTGTCGGCCCTATCCGCGGCGGGAGGGTTGGGAGCTGTCGCCGCCGCTGCCGTCTGTGGCAAGAGGTTCGGGAGTAGCCGTCCTCAACGCCATCCACACTGGAGGGCTCGGGAGCCCCTGCCGCCGTCACTATCCTTGACCCCATCCGCGACGGGAGGGCTCGGAACCTGCAGCCGCAGCCGCCGCTGTCCTTGACGCCATCCGCGTGGGAGCGCTCGGGAGCCACTGTCGCCGTCTCTGTCCTCGATCGCATCCGCAATGGGAGGTCTCGGGTGCCGCCGCCGCCGCCGCCATCCTTGACACCATCCGCAATATCATGAATAGTAGTGGCATTTTTCTAAAATGACATATTTGTAGTAGCACAAAATATAAGTAATTTTGGTTGAATGGGATATCATAGTACTACGAATCTAAATCCATGTCCATGAATCCAACAAAAATTTCTTATATTTTGGGACAGGGGTCCGCGTGGGAGCGCTCGGGAGCCGCCGCCGCCGTCTCTGTCCTCGATCGCATCTTCGATGGGAGGTCTTGGGTGCCGCCGCCACCGCCATCCTTGACGCCATCCGCAATATCGTGAATAGTAGTGGTATTTTTCTAAAATGACATATTTGTAGTGGCACAAAATATAAATGATTTTGGTTGAATGGGATATCATAGTACTACGAATCTAAATCTATGTCCATGCATCCAACAAAAATTTCTTATATTTTGGGACGGGGGAATATGTATTTTCTAATTAACTTCTTATTATTTTAATGTTATTAATTAGTTTTATGTGTTTTATATTGTCTAGTGTAAACTAAATGTTGTTAATCACATGGTTTAAAAATCTATGTGTTTTTCCATTAAAAATGTAAAAATGTGTGTTGAGTGGCCAATAGCTGGTCCAAAGCAATGTATTTCTTTTACTTGTTAAATACAGTTAATTTGGGACGTGAATTATAAATATTTGTTATAAATGATCTAATAGTGTACATGGATAAAAAATTAGCTATATATATGATGTAAGATGTTATAGTTGTTCAAAAAAATTTTTACTACAAAATATGTTCAATCTAATAGGGCATGGAAATAAAAAAGAGGAGATGCACCGGCCGGTTATAGGCATGCGTATGTGCAGTTTGCAGCACACGTACATGTGTACAGGCCCCATGGGCCTTTTCTTTTATTATTAAAGTAAATGCAATGAAGGAAAATAGTGGGTCCTTTGTTAAATAAAAGAAATTGGTGGGTCCACCTTATTTAAAAGTGCCACGTGTCGAATTAAGAGCATTTGTAGGAAGACATGTGGCGACTTAGGAATGTTTATAGGAAGTTTAATGGATTTTTAGTATATAATAACTAGGAAGGTGGCCCACACGATGCGCGGACATCTATACTATCGTAACGTAATATTATAATTTCTTTAGAAACTATATTTTATAAGGGCAAACTATAGGTCGGGTATATCTAAAAACCATTCATTGACTTAGAAGATAGATCAAGGTCATATGGCATTTGAATTTACTTTTGGACTGAGTGAGTAAATATCATGTATACCATTTGAACACATACCATACAATATTGCTACAAGTAAAAATTGCGATAGCAAGGTGTTAATGACCAAATTTGGTAATATCAGCATCGGAGATGAAGATAGGATCGAAGCGGAATCGAAGATAAGGATTGTTGCGGAAACAGAGTAAGAATCGGCTGGAGTCCGGGTCGGCTACGACTGGGATCGGCTAAATCCGAGTCAGACTGGGTTAAGTGATACAGCCGATTCCGACAATACGACTTGTGTACGACATCGGGTTCAAGTTGATGTGCTTCAAGATGATTGCCACGCATGGATAGAGTCCTGGGAAGGCAATTGTATCTATTAATTAGGATATTTTATTAGAGATAAATGTGGGCAAAAGTCTGCCGCAAAGACTTATGGTATCTTAGAGTTTGTTAGAGATAAGAGTCGTGTCCAATATGGACATATCTTATAATTCTCGGGTATAAATAGACCTCGAGCCCTATGTAATTATTAACACATACGTTCAATACAATTTCGGCGCATCGCCACCCTTTTGCTTTAGTTTTATTTCGACGAGTTCTTTCTTTCGGGTTGAGCTGCATCGGTTTCGATCTTCAACAAGAGGTAAAACTTGTTATGACGACTTGTGTTCTCGGGATTAGTGCTTCCATCTTTATGATACTCTAATCTTGTTTATGTAATTCATCGAGTTACCATATATTCTATATAATCTCTGACAATATCATTATCTAACCTATAATCGGCTAACATCTGTTAGTAGAAGGCGGCCGATTAGGTTAAATAGCGACGTTGGCTTAGATTATATAAGATATCTACCACCCTATAAAATATCCAGCGGCTTGATTGTCTAGATATTGTTCTTCTTTTCATACTTAATGCTGCATCAGTTGAGTTTGATCTATTAAGTCGTGCTTAGAATTTCAATCCCTAGCCTGCCTTCTGGTTGCCGATTAGGGTAGTATCGGAGTTTTAGCCGATCTTATCTGATTTAACTACTTCTATTTTATACGCTCAATTGATATGTTAAATCTGCCCTTTATATTAAGATCTTGTTGCATTTAAGTACATTAGGCTCCTGTTTGGTGTATTCTACTTGCTTTAATATCTTAATATAGAGTAGTATCGGAGTATTAGCTGATACATACTAGATCTGTCTGATCGGCTATGCTATGAGCATATATAATCTTGTTGTTAATATATATTTCAATCTAAGTGATTTGTACTGTCTTGGCATGACGACCGATCTATCCCAATCACTTGATTTGAGTATATATCGATATAAGGGTTATATATTGCTAATATCTACAGCCGATCGAGTAGATTTAGTTCCTTGTTACATATTTATGACTGCCGATCGATTCACATATGACATCGGCTCAAGGATAAATGATATGTCATTGGCAATTAGCCGATCGGCTATCATTTATGAATTTAACCTCGGTTTCTTTGTTTTTGTTTCTTGTTGATTGCAGGATCAAATCAACTGGCACGCTCACACATCCGAATGCGAGTTTTGGACCTGCACTGGAGTTAAGCAGATTTCCTAGGTCTCGTGTTTTCTGTCAACACAAGGACTCAAAGTTATTTTGATCGAATCGTCTCATGAACATGCATGATTTATTGACAACCAAATTAATCATAGATTAATGGTTGGATTGTTTTTCCCTTCGTAGAAGTTCAAAATTTTCATATTCTTTTCCAAAGTTTTAAAGAATTTTTGTTAGGACACAAATCATTGGCAGAATTGCTTGGTTGGGTAGTGCAAAATATCAGCAATTTGTTGAAGTTTTCCCTTTTTTTCTTTTTCGCATGTTTGATTGTTTTCCTCGAAACAATATTTGTTTGAAATAAGAGCAAAATTATATAAATTTAATTGGTATGTATAGTGTTTATCGGATCACCTTGACAAATCACCTTAGCTGCCTCAGATACGATGCTTCGTCATATGTGCAGAAGGCAAACATGCACATGTATGAGGTCTTGAGATGTTTCATTTTACTTTTATAAAAGATAGATATGGCATGCGTGTTAATAGGTCCTTAATAGGTCTAGTTAATAGGTCCATCAGTTTAAGCGAAAACCGATATCAAAATATTTTTATTAAAAATAGTATAAAATAGTGGGTTCAGTAATTAATGTAAAAAATTAGTTAATATAGATCATAAATTGGAATTTACTGGTAGAGAATATTATTGCGTAACATTTATATTAAACAACGTGTTTTGAAAATTTTGATATAAAATAATGATTTGATAGATCCGGTAGAGAGGAGGGGTGTCTTCGGCTGGCAACCACGGGGACGACGCCCGGAGGGGAGGTTGGCGTTGTCGGCGGTGGGGAGTCATGGGGGCGGCGGATCCAGCGGAGACAGCGGCGGCGCGTGGCCCCTCTCCTCCCTCTCCCTTTGGCTCTCCTCCCCCTCCCCTCCCTCCCCTTGGAGATCCGGCGGAGGGGAGGGGCGTCTTCAGCCGGCGACCACGGGGACAACGGCCGGAGGGGAGGGTGGCATCGGCAGCAGTGAGGAGGCATGGGGGTGGCGGATCCGGCGTCGGTGATAGGAGTGGGCGACGGATCCAACGTCGGGAGCGGGCGACGACGGCGGCGGTGACGGCAGCGGTCTTCCAGCGTCTGGATCCGTCGCCGGCGACCGCGCGGGCGACGGCGACGGACCTCGGCTAGGGCAGCGGCGGCGGTGGATTAGGGTTATGGTTTTGGTTTTGATTTTCTTTTTTTTTGTTTCGATTTTTTATTTTCCCGTGCGTATGCGTCACCCGCAAAAAAAAATCACGATTTTCGCAGACCCTTAATTCTAGACGGGTGAAGCAACCGCACGCAAAAACCGATTCGACCGCACAGAAAAATAGCTATTGTACTAGTGTATATATATGAGCGTGAAACCATCAGAAAAATACATTTTACCGTCAAGGAAAAATACAACCTTAACTTAAATATATAGTTAGTGCAAATATTAATTCTATAATTAATTTTCATCGTTCCTTAACTTAATTTCTTCTCCACTTCTTTTCATCTTATGTCGTTATTCTGATCACTTATTCATTCTTTGTCCCAAAAATCAACTTTCAATAATGAATCTGGGATAAAAAGTACTTGTTCAAACACGTCCCAGAAGTTGGTTTTTTCAGTGCCAGAGCGAGTATATATATGTTAGTAGGTTCAACTGTTCTTGCCCTTTAATATCACTAGACTGTTACCATGCAGGGGGTGGAGAACTGGAGATACGAAGCCACATGCGTGCAGATTCGAAGCTTTTTTGTAGCGACATAACGATCCGTGCCACATCTATATATTATCATGCGAAATACTAGTATTATATTGAAGAGTTTTAATCTAGGGCCGTAGTAATATAATATGGTGGAGCAAATGAATTAAGACCGCCTTGTTGGGAGGTCTGCTAGTCGTTTGTCTTTGTTATTATGACAAGCAAGCAAAGTCTTCTCAAGTTTTCCCATTGCTCTTATATATACTTCTACAACCGTAAGCAGCAGCCACAATGAATTAATGTTCACCTAGAAACTCTGAGCTCTACTCCGACTTCACAGTTTGCTCATACTACATATATCTATGTTAAGTTCAAATAACTAAATCATATCTATGTTAAGAAGATGCTATTGTCAGGTTCCTGATAGGGCATACCTCCTACCCGACGACTTATGGAATATGCAGATACGGTATACCTTCACGTACGTGGATTATTTCTATGTATGTTAGTGGAATCTGTTAAAAATCATGGAAAATATCTACACGAGTCGAGTGATTTTCAAAGTCCTACTCGGAGGGGATAGAGTTTTTGTTATATCGTATAAGATCCAATGTCTTCGAGTCTTACTTGGGGATCAAGATGATCCATGGTATAAAAGGGACCCCCAGGGAAGGGTGCAAGGCATCGAATCTCATCGCTAACACACACCATAGTTTACAAAGCCGGAAAACGCGGAACCAAGTCGCCGGGGGTCGCCGATTCTGTCTACTTCCATTGTAATCTTTGGTTTTCCATCATCAATCTCATATAAATTAGAGTAGGGCTATTACCTGATAAGGGGCCCGAACCAGTATAATCCTTGTCTTTTGTCTGCTTGATGTCGTATTACGTAGATCCTCGTTCCAACATATCCCAATACCCTAATCATCCGGTATACAAGTATCACTCGTCGACAGCTATATACTCCACAAACATGTTATTAGCCCCAGAGTATGACAAGAGGGTTCTAAGTAGTTTAAATTGGGGAGAAACTTTTGCTTTCTGATATATCACCATGTTCTCTATGTTAAATCTTTTGTACAAAGTAAAATATAGGTTAAATCTACTATAAAAAATAATATCTTAAACTTAAAATCTATTGTCCAAATTAGTATATTTTAAATCTTTCATCTCCATAGTGTCAAAAGAGTTGACAAGTAAACCTGCACAAATGTGGATTCTCAATGATAAAGTTGACCCGTACAAATGTGGATTCTCACTGATATGTGATCTCACTTCGTTTTCCAGGTGGTTTTCATAAGCCACCACCTCTGAAGAGATTTTATTTATTATTTAAAAATTTATAGAAAATTCATAAAAAACCAATTAAGATTAACAAAATTTCAGAGTGATCCTTACTACAATTCGATATGTTTGGTTAGGTCAATAGCTTCTTCAAATACTAAATTTTATATGGATTCTCAAAAATATCATGATATCTAACAAAGCAAGGTCAAATGGTATGCAAGGAATAATAGTGACTACATAAAAAAATAATTGTAAAATCTGATGAAGTGCTTTCTTGCTCTAGATATCGCAAAAACAAACGTGTTATGATTGATTGTAAAATTTGTGCTAATTTGACAAAAGAAGTTTCTTATTTGAAAAGTTTTTTGGAAACATTTTATGATGGGAAAAGAAAGATAACATGATTTTGGATCAATCTAAATGACTAGCTATAATAGGGGTATTGGTTTTTGATGCTCATGATTATTTTACCAAAAATCAACTGCTGTTTTGATTATAACCGAACAAAGTGAAATTTTGACAAAAACGGAACCACCTCCATTGTTTCGACACAATATTTTCTCATCAATTCAAAACCGCATGATCTCAAGTAATTTTATTTTAGAATTTATATGTTGCAATGGTAATTAAAAAAAATCAGCATTCAAATAACACAAAATAAGTTTAATTTTAGTTTGGAATATAATAAAAATATTTTAATAAAAAGCCACCTGCACATAAATATTCATAATAAAATTTCATTAATTTTATTTCAGGAGGCTATCTTTCTAGTGTAGATAATTAAATTGACATACGGCAAATTGGTCCTGCTACGAGTAAGGAAGTCGAGACGTAGCAGCAAACAGCATATACCTTGATCCTTGATACCTTCAAACGCAGTAATCAATGTTATCATTATGCTGAATCTCCTGCAAGCAGCGCCAAAGTAGATCTGACAGCAGAAGAGATGGGCTCATCATGCTTGCCAACACCAGAACCACTGCAGAATAGCTCGAAGCTCTCGAGCTCAGTTGCTGTCTCTGCCACTTCCTTCAGCGCCTTGTCCATTTCATACCTCTTGAACACCCCAACGTAATCTTCGTTATTTTTTATCAGCCATTTCATCTGACTGAGTGTTACTCTTCTTATCCCCGGGAAATCGGTGGTAGGAGATTTGCACACGCTCAGTACCATCTTGAGCATACGTATCCATTGTAAGGTTGGCACTCTGTAGAGCCTTATCAAAATCAATGGCTTGCAAGGAGTGGCAAATCTGTGAGCTGAGGCCAATAAAGCTGTCTAGTAGTTTGCCTTCTTCAGCTTTCAGTTCTTTCAGGTCCTAGTTGTACACAGCACCAATTTTAAGTGAGTTTACTCAAGAAAAGTGAGTGTACGTTTTAAATGAGGGAAGCTACATGGAATCAATGATGTCTTAGAAAGAGAGGTTTGTTACATGAGAAGGTTGTCCATCAGGGAATTCAGGATTATCGAGCTTCTGAACTGCAACTTTGATTTCTTCCAATAACTGAAATGGCATTAATTGATAACATATATTACTTTTCTTCTAAGTTTCTAACTAAATATGCAATACAGATTGTCATGGAAAACATAAGATTTAGCTTTTTAACAGAAATAGAATTGGAACATGTAACGGAAGACAAAGAATAGATAGTTTACTACCGAAACTTATAGCACGCGAACACTTTATTTTACCTTCAGAAAAATTGTATTCATTGACACATATTTCAGCTATTCTTCAGTGGTATGGTGATGCAGAAAATTTAGTATCGAATTCCAATTTTAGGCAAAAACTCAACTATATGACAGAATTTACCTTTGGCAGAGAACCGTCAATTACTTTCTTCAGTTGGTTTCCATAACCTGGGCCTGAATACGTCCGCAAATGTTTAAGCAGATGTGCTATCATAATCCTTTGCTCCATGGAAGCATCAAAGAGCATGCCGACAAGCTCTTCCAGATTAATTTTATCAAGGATGGTTGCCCTGTTGTATTCACTCCCAGTACTTAGCAGAACTAATGCCTGTGCGGCTGAGTCAGCAACTGTGGATCCATTGTTGCCATCTTGAACAATATCCATAGGCCTTGGAAGAACCGACGAAACAAGCTTCCTGACGATCTGGCAAGAACTTCCAATCACTTCTCTAGCAGTCTCATGCATCGCTAAGCAAGAAAGGATTTTTACAGCATGAACAGATAAACTACTGTTCTTGTTATCATGCTGATACAGGATTTTTCTGATGTTGCTCATGATCTCAGAATTCTTGGAAATGGTGCTTCGTAGAGCTTCGCCAGTCTCACCAGTAGTGCTAACTAGCTTGTGCAGGACATTTAGTGAGGCCTCAACTATCTCTTCTTGGCTTCTATTCTCAGTTTCATCTGGAACAGGTACCTTACAATCATCTCTGAAGTTTAGCAGTTCTACAATTTTCGACAAAACGACATTGGCATCAGCCACAGATCTGCGGTTATCTGGATTCTCTACAAGCCTTTCAAGAATTTTCACACCATAACAAGTGAGCTCCACACTATTTATGTCATGGGGGCCTTCATTGATCCTCTCTCGGCCTGTCGTTAGTAGTGAGGCTATAAGCTGTGGCATTGCAGGCAAATTCTCGAATAGGAGGTATGGAGCAAGTTCAAGCACTATGGATGCTGCATGACCTCTAGTTTCTTCCTCTTCTAGGCTCTTCAAATTCAGCCCCAGCATATTCACCACTCTCTCTAGTGTCTCAGTGGAAGCTCGAATACTTGTAAGCACCCTCCCTTTGTACTTCTCAATCTTGTAGATGTCAAGAACACCTGCTCTAGATAAGTGCTGCTTCTCCCATCTTATGATGTAATCAAGAATCCTAACTCCTTTCAACTGGTCATCAATTGAATCGGATCGTGCCAGCTCCTTTCCAAAGGTGATCAAATTCATCTCGAGAGCTTCCCTAACATTATACCTAATGAATGCCCAAAGCTTTTTGGCTGTATACTCAGAAACTGCATCCATGCCCCAGTCATGAAGCTTGTAACTAGAATGGACCAACCTTACCAATGGAGCCACTAAAAACTGGAACGCAACAATCAAGATGTAGTAGGACATGCTATGGGCAAGGGCCAGCCCATAGAAGACATTCAGGGAACCTCTAATGTTCTTGTGGTCATCCTTAACTTTGTCTTTTGGATCGACGTAGTCTTGCTTGAGTAAACGCCGGAACGATATGAAGATGCAAGCGACGAGTGCAGCTGCCTCCATCCATGTCAGGGTTGTCTGGAATATGGTCATCTTGACATGGCGCTTTGGGCAAAACATGCGAACTAGGACATTGCGTTGATTCTGTCGTACGCTTGACGAGCCTTTGCTGGCCTCTCCGTTCTTTATTGTGTTCTTCCGCCAACTTCCGAGTCCAACATGCGTAAGTTCGTCACGGTGCAGCATCGAGAGTGGTACCCGAATAAAGAGTTGATCCTCGGGTTTCTGGGAACCGCCAAAAACCCTACCATTTTCAAAATGATCAGCACATATTTCTTAAGATAGTATAAGGTTCTGTTCACTTTGATGTCATTTTCAACCATACATTTTTTTTTGGTAAAGTTACTAAAAAAATGTCTATATTTAGTTTGCTGCCAAATTTGATCAATACATAAGAAATCCTGCCAAAATTTTGGCAATATTGCTATCTTGCCAAAATTTTGACATTGCCAAAACTTAATAAGGTTTATTTTGGCTACAATCTGAACAGGTCCTAAATTTCCCAAAACTACCATTATTTTGTCAAACATAACGCTTTAATTTGCAACAACTTTAGATAGGTATTTCACAAAAACTCCAGCTATAGAAAAAGATTTTAATTATCACAAAACTACTACTTTACGATCCTCTATGTATATGACATGTAGACCTAACTTACACCAGCCTAAGTATTGCATCTATGAATGACAGATGGCTCCAAGAATTGTCAGACTAATAAAGTGGCAGATTTTTGATAAAATCATAGACTATATATTATTGTAGCAATCTGAAATGTGTCTAGTATTTACTCTTCTTAAAACCATGTATCAAATGAAAAATAGATTTTCTTTTACGCTACTTGCTTAAGGTTGTTTCACATTACTACATTAAGGAAAAAGTACGAATACCCCCCTGAAATATTGCGATAGTATGAATTGCCCCCCCCCCCCCCGGAATCTCAAACTATTGAAACCAGACGAATTACCCCCCCCCCTCAATCCGGAGCAGTTTTAGTCCTACGTGGCATACACATGGCCCCGTCGTGGAAATCCAATCAGCAAAATTAGGTGGTCCCACATGTCATGCTTATGTATTTCTTCCACTTTCCCCTCTCTTCATCTCCTCCAGGGCAGATAGAAAGCGACGTGGCGGTGGTGCTCTCCAGGGCGGGCTGGAAAGCGGCGTCCAGGGCGGGTGGGGAAAGCGGCGACGTCAAGGGCGGGTGGGGGAAGCGGCGGCGATGACGGCACCCTCCAGGTCGAGCGGGGTCACGTGCGGCTGCGCTCTCTAGGGCGAGCGGGGGAAGTGACGGCGGTGTCGTCGCCCTCCAGGGCAGGCACGGGAAGCGGCGGCAGTGGCGGATTTGTGGGAGCATGCCAGCGCCAAGCGGCGGCAGGCGCGGCGGGAGCGGTAGAGGGCGTGGCAAGGAGCAGCAGCGACAGATCGCGCACGTCCACGACCATGAGAGTCCCCACCTCGACAGAGCCTTGGCGCACGTCCCCCCGAGGTGTGATGCGAATACCGATGAGGCGACCTTCACCACCGTCATTCCAGTCATGCCCGTCATCGCGCTCCGCTCGACCGAAGCTTCCTCCCCGCCGCCTCGTCGTCATCTGGAGCTTACTCCCAGCCGCACCCCCTTCCCGCTGCTCCCGCCGCCGCCTGGAGAGTCCCCCCATTCGCGCCTGTCGCAGCTCGCCGCCAACCTATTCCCCCTCCCCATCCGTGCCTGCCGCCAACCGGAGCCACCCATCTGTGCCCACTGCCGCTTGCCCAGCCATGCCCAACGCCAACATCACAGAGGAGAAGTGACAAAGAAGAAGGGGTCAATATGACATGTGGGCCCTATATATATTATTTTTTATTATTTTTTGCTGATTGGATTTCCACGTCGGTGCCACGTGTATGCCACGTAGGACCAAAACCGCTTCGGGTTGAGTCAGGGGGTAAATCGTCCGGTTTCAATAGTTTGAGGTTTAATATGTCTGGTTTTGTGGTCTGAGGGGGCAATTCATACTGTCGCAATAGTTTAGGGGTAATTCGTACTTTTTTTTCCTTACATTAACCAACAACAGCTATTTCCTAGAAGCCTGTCATAGTTTACCTAATTAAATTAAATGCATTAATTATATCACATGCATTAATTATATCACTACTGAAGAAATGATCTTTACTGGGTGGTGCAAAAACCACATTAATCCCGGTTTGAATAGGAACCGGGACTAAAGATCATCTTTAACCCCGGTTGAAAAGCCCACCACCACTTTATGATCTTTAGACCCGGGACTAAAGATTATTTTTAGTCCAGGTTCAAAAAGTGTGTGTCCCCCTACTATTTTTAGACTCATATGATAAGAGCAACCGGGACTTAAAAATCGATGCGTCGTATATAATACCTCGCCATTATCCTCAAGCAAACTCCCCCTCCCTTATCTCCTCATTTTAACTTCCTCTTCCTCCCTTTTCTTATCCTCTCTCTTTCCTCTCTCTTATCCTCTCCTTTAAAGGAAGCGAGCAAGCCGGCGGATTCGAGGTGCACGGCGGCAGCGGCCTACACGGCGGCGGGCGGTGCGGTGGGCTGCACGGCGGGCTGCACGGATGTCTATTTTGTTGATTTGTATGTGAATTTGTTGATTTGCAGGTGATGTCTGTGGATCAATAAATTTGTAGAAGCCTGGGCGGTGTTGGTGAAGCTGGTGCGCTGACCTCGTGGGGGCGATTCAAGATACATCGCCGCGCCATGTACTGCCTCTATCCCTTTCTGTCCCCTTAGGCTCCCTCTTCCCGATCTCATCAGCATTCGGCTGTAGTGTCTCCCTAATCTCTCTTCTCGGTTCAAAGAGCAAGGCATGGCGGTGCCTCTTTGGTGGTGAAGGAAGAAGATGGCACCGTTGCTCTAACCTACACACGGCGTTGACTTGCCCTGGCAGGAGCTCACTGGTAGGCGTCTGCAATAAGGCGGCTGTCGGTACATCTTGGCACCTAGCGCCTACCACTCCGCTGCTGCGGGCGTCCCGTGCCATGACCACAAATGTCGATGCCACAACCACCAGGGACATTAGGCCCAAGCTCCCCGCACGACCTGCTTTCTCCTCCCTCTCCCGGGCCAGGCCATCCTCCCCTCTTCTCTCTCCCTGACCTAGCTCGCTGCTCCGCCCGCTTGCACCTCCCCTTTGCGAAGTCTACACTGCCACCCTCCTATCTCCCGAGCCGCTAGTAGGTGGGGCCCACCTGTTGGGCTCTCCTTCAACCTCCGGTTGGTTGACCGGCCGGACCACACCGCCGCTCACATCCTGCCAAATCCGGCGCCCCCCCGGTCACGAGCTCGCATCTAAACAGCGTCGAACTGTCTCCACGTTCCCGCCTCATTTCCCCCACATCCCCGTGGCCCCCTGTGTGAGATATTTAACTATTTACCACTTTTAGATGTGGCAATTAACTATTTCCTAATGGACCCACATGTCATTGACACATTTGGACCCACATGTCATTGAGATAGGGGTGCAAATAGTTAATTGCCAAATCTAAAAGTGGCAAATAGTTAAATGCCCACTAAGGCCACATTTCGCACAAGTCGCCGGAGCCTCACTCCGCTGGTTGTTCCCGCTCTTCCCGACCTCGAGGCTCGAGCCAGCCTCCCAAGCCTAGAAAAATCAACCCCCCTACTCCACTCATCCGTTTACCCCTCTCTTGCGAGCTTGCCGATGCCCGAAACCACTCCCTCGCTGAGACCTACAAGCTCCACCATCGCCGTCGTATTTCGGCCACAAATCACTGCTGCTAGCGCCACTGCTGCGCCACGCCCCCACCACCAGCAGCTTCACCGCATCGAGCTCCACCTTAGCCTCCACTACGTGTTTTTCCCCTCCACCACTGGAACACCGCCGTTGTTCCCCACTCCGGGCGCACGCTGCCACCGCCTAGCCACCATCGCACCGTGCTGTTCACGTTGCCGCATCGCAGCGCCGCGCCACGTCCTGGCCGCCACTCCACTCCAATCCGCCACCGAGCTGCCACCTCCATCACTAACCCGAGCTCCACCAGACCACCACCCTTTCGCCACCTCTGGCCGGCAATTGCCGTAGATTGGGGCAATCCCATGCCCCGTTGCTTCCTCCTCCAGCTTTGCAAGGACGACGAGCCCCACGGCCGCCACTCGGTTGACGTTCCCCGCCACCGAAACCCAATTTCCCTCGCACGCCGGTGAGTCCCACCATTTCCCGTCCTCCAGCTAGCAACATCCTCCTTCTCTCTCTAATCGATTTATTGTCCATCCTTAGTTGTCGCCGCCGCTTGTCCGCCCCTTCGCTCGCAAGGTCATCGTCGTTGCCGTCCTCTCCTGCACCGCCCGCCGATGTTTGCCGATGAGATCACCCTCCCCCTCTCTCCTTGTTTCCCTTTTTTCGCCCTCGCCGGCGCCTTTCGCGTGCAGTGCCACTTCCTGTGCCAGCCGCCGCTCCCCGTGTCTCTCACCATCGCCGGCGGTGGTCACCGCCTTCTCGGGCTGGCCGGCGCGCCTGCGTCCTTGTTCGCTGCCGCCGCCTAGCTGATCTTGGCCGCCTGTTCAGCCTTGGGCCATTTGGGCCATCGGTCGCCCATGCACCCCGTGGACCCGGTCCATAGCCCAGCCGACCGTTGCAATATGACCCCCCCCCCCCCACACCCCTTGGCCTGCTGACGTGTGGGGCCTACATGTTGGCGCCGGCCCATTGATGACACCAGCATCCTTGTTTTTCTTTGTTAAAATAATTAGTAATTGCGCAATAATTTGGTTTAATTCCATAAATTGATTTAAATGGTTAAAAACTTCTAAAATTCATAACTAATTCATATGAACTCCAAATTGAGCCATTCAACTTGCATAATTTATATAAAATTGAGTTCTATACAAAATTGAGTTCTACATGTTTATACTTTTCATGTACTATTTATTTGGTTTTTATTAGGGTTTTTGTTCATTTTGTGTGCCATCGTGTAGATTCTGCTAGTTTTCAGAATATCGTGACCGCGAGGAAAAATGTTCCTAAGATCAATCGAAGAAGCAAGGCAAGTCACACCTTCCCCTTGAGCATATTGAGCCTACTTTATAAATGTTTTTACCGTTTGCAAATAAATTGCACGCTTTGCTAATTACATGGGACTATGGGATTACCTATCTGCTCGCTTGTGCCATGTTTACTTGTGATCCATCCTTTGTTAGACTTGGGAAATAATTTGTCTAGCTTGTTTCACTTATATTGATCTTGCTAGAATTATGATATGCTT